GAGGGCATAAACCAGTGATGTTACTGACCTTTATTTATGTCGGCCCTTCTAATAAATACGAGACAGTGTCAGGTTTATATGTCATTCCTCTTGCTAATAAATACTATTTGATGTTCATTAGCTTTTTTTTTTTTTTTAAGATTTATTTATATAAGCACTGGGGTACAAGCCAAAGGCATGGGAGGGCGAGAGAATTCACCAGAGAGAGAGCAGGGAGCAGAACAGGCAGAAGGACCAAAATACATTGCCAAGGGGAGCAGCGAGTGAGATAGGAGAGTCTGCCACGCCATGTGGGCATCTCCCTGGCAGCCGGGAATTGGACCGGCACTGCAGAGGCTGCGGACAACTTCACAGCGCTGCGCTCAACCCACTGTGCCACCAGGGAGACCCTTCATTAGCTTTTTGAGCAAGTGTCCCTAAATTTTTTTTAACTGGTATTTTCACTTAGAACAGGGATCAGCGCACTTCCCTGGGTGCCAAGTCCATCTTACCACCCGTTTTTTGTGAATAAAGTTTTACTTACATTGCTTTGCTCATGGATGGCTGCTTTTGCACTGTAACATGAATTGAACAGTTGTGACAGAACATATGGCCTGCAAATCCTAAAATATTTACTATCTGGCAATTTACAGAAGAAGTTTGCCCACTCCTGATCTAGAATAACAAGATAAATCTGCATGGTTGCTGCTGACTTAGAAAGATCTGGTCGGCCAGCTCTGTGGGATTGGGCTCTGGAGTTGTCAGCCACACACTCACCAGCCGTTTCCTCATTGCTGACTGTATGTCTGGATCAAGAGGTGTAGCAAGGAATAAAAGATACAGAACTTGCTGTCCTGTGAAATTTAAATTCTGGCAAAGTGATTCAGAGAATAAATAGAGAAGTAAAGTAAGAACAAGTGTTAATAATGTGTCTCCCTATAGTACTTGTTGGCACTGACTGCCCCACCATCTTGCTTCAGAAAGTATTCCAACCTAAATCCCTTTGTGCCTCAGTCCATTCCCTGGGAGTTATCGTTACTTGTATAACTATTTAAATAGTTATAGTTAAACACTATATGGTTACTAGTATAACTAGTATAATATATGCTTATATATCATATATAGTTATATAGTTACTATATATTATATATAGATATATAATACAGTTATATATAGTAACTATATGTGTGTGTTTTATACATATATATAGTTACTAGTGTGTGCTAATTAACCAGACATATACATGTCAGTCTGTTTCCTCCCATTTGTGTTATATATTAAATCACGATGTTTTATTACTAAAAATTTTGTTTAGTTTTATGATTATCTTGATCCAATTCTATAAAGCTATTTTTAATTAGAGAATTTCCTGTCAAAACCTATCCCTGTGTAAAAATTGTAAAGAAAAAATGAGCGAACAGAACCTAACTGTCCATTAAAAAATCATGTGCCACATTTAAGTGAGTTAGTCCAGGAATGCAAGGTTGGTTCAGTATGAACTCCATTAATATATACCCCATCAAGAGCTTTATGGAAAAATATCTCCTTTACTAAAATTCAATACTCAGTCATGGTGAAAACATTTAAGGAAATAGCATTGGGAAGGATGCTTTCTCAACAGGGTAAAGAGGATACACCTGAACTTTAGAATCAGTGTCTTATGTAGTGGCGGCTCAAGAGACACTTTCACTAAGATGAAGTAAGGAGACCCACTCTCCACCACCATTCAGCGATACTCTGGAGATATTGGACAAGAGAACGCAGAGGCATAGAGTGGGCATAGAATAACCAAAACTGCCTCAACCTATAGACCGTACACCAGCACACTTAGAAAACCACAGAAAGACAGTGATAGATGACCTCAAACTAGAAGGATGTTGTGCTGTTGCAGGATAGAAAGTTAAAGCAATAGTCTTCCTATACACAGTCAAACAGTTAAAAGACATAATGGTAGAGAAAGTATCACTTGTAATAACAACAAAGATTAAATGCTTAGAAATAAATCTAACATAAAATGTGCAGAATTTCTATGTACCTGAAAGAAAACTAAACAAAACTTGAACAAACGAAAGATAATCCTATTCCTGAATAGGATGAAGGCAAGTCATCAATTCTCCTTAAGTTCTTTTATAATATTGATGTAATCCCAGTAAAAATATTAATCTGTTTCACATAGTTAAACATGTCGATAACAGAGTTCATGTAGAAGAAAAAAACATGCTAGGAAACACTTTCAAGGAGGGGGTGGGGAAGACTAGCCTCAATGGATGTTACACTGGTAACCACTATTATAAAACCATTATCAATCGTAGCCATTATGATCAAAAACAATATAGCATTGACACATAAACAAGCAGATGGGCCTGTGGCGTAGAATAGTTTTCCCCGGTGTAATGTTTCCCGTGGCACTGACATAGTGATAGGCAAGGCCAAAACATCACACTTCTTTCAGACTCGGTTTTAATGTTGAAGCTGCTGGTGGAGTTGGGTCGTTTGCTGTGCCTGCCAACATTCTCTTTTCAAAGTTACCAAACTTCGTTTGATACAAAGATTTTGCTTATGACAGACAGGTGTGTCATAAAAACCCAGGGTTTGAAAGATGTTCACTGACTTGTAGCAAAGGGCTTGGAGCCGTCTTCTGTGTGTGGAGCATGGATCCAGATGAGAGTCCTGCGCTGATTTCTCAGACAGACTTTCCCTGTCATCAACTGCTGTGACCCTGCTTCTCCCTGTGCTTAGAGGAGGAAGATATTTCTTACTAACTGTGGAACTGTTGATGGGAAGACGGAATAAAGGAAAATGGAGAATTTGAAACAATTTGGGCAAATCTCTTTCCCATTAAAAGACTCCTATTTGTTTCTTTATAGGGCAGGCTGAAGAAGTGAATTTTCTCATTGCTTTAAGAAGATTTCTTCCAACTGCACCAGGCACAGTGGTGCTGCTTAGATGTGGTAGTATTTTATGAATTCATGAGAAGGATTTCTTGCAGCCCTTTTTATTTGTACTTGAAATATTGTATAGCAGAGCAGAGCCTTGGGCGTGCATAGGATAAGTGGTGGTGCCCGTGTTAACTAGAATTACTGTTTGTTTTTACCATCAGGCGTCTCTGAACCCAGTCTGTAGGCAGAAGCCATCATCATAATGGAAACACTTACTGCGTTACTGCAGCTGATTCCCCAGTGACATTTTCAAAAGTCAGTGTTTGAGTCCAGCTACTGTGACTGTCTAAATGGACGGGAGGCTGGGAGCCTCTGGGTGTTTCCTAGGGAGCACATGACCCAGAGTGGACATAGACCCTGGTGTGTATGTCGCCAACTTGAGGCCCAGTGTTTACCCTTGAAATTGTTTTGCTCCAGAATGTAACATTTAATTATTTGGTACTGATACTAATGAACTGCCAATGTCTAAGACTTGATGATTGGTCAGCTATCCTGTACCTCCATCTGGGTCTCCTTCCTGTGTGGCTGTAACTTTAGAGCAACTCCTGGCGGTTGCACTGCATCTCTGGGCTTGAGAGTGGACACTCACAAGTGCGTTCAGAGACTTTACCTTTTGAAAGTGAAGGGCCTAAATTAGTCCCAAAATCGATTTCAGAATTTTCATAGTCATATTTAATAACTGTTTATACCTATCTTCTCAGTGGGAAATCTCCCTCCTGCCTCCCTTGCTCACAGATAGCACTGTTATTAGAATTAAGAATATAAGCAGTGGTTCAAGAGACTGTAGTGACTCAGCCCATGCTGGGCTGGCCTGCCCTCCCACCGGACCCAAAGGAGATGCCAGGGCTGGCAACGAGCTGGTGGTGGTTCAGCGCAAAACATTAGGCTCTGCCCTTCACAGCTGGGTGGGTGGTCTCTGAGCACCTTCATCTCCTGTGTTGCCCTGGGCTGCTGTGGATACTATCAGACTGCAGAATAGTAGGTTCTCTGCGGTCAGAGCAGTTAGCCTGGTCTGGCACGATCATGGACTTCCATACAGAGGGGCCATGCAGGAGGGAGGGGGTGTGTGTGTGTACATTTATTTCTTTACAATATATCTTAGCAATGGGACAGCTACAAGATTAAATAGCATAGTCCTCAGGCCATGAAAGCTAGTGCCCCAAAGCTTGTGCTAATAATCCAACTGCCTTTTTTTATTCTATAGTATTTTTGGCCCTCCAAATGCACCTATGCCCCTGGGCCAGAAAGTGGGTTGAGATCATCCAGTTCCTCTGATGATTCTTCATTTTCAAAATCCCAGCTCCTGCCTCCTTGTGATTCATTGTCTCTAACTAATCAAATAATAAGTATCTTTTCCTTCAATACATATTCTCAGATTAAGGGCCACGGAATAACAAAGATTTGTTAAATATTTGTTATGCAAATGGAGGAATTAAGATCGTGAAAGACTTGATTCCTGTCTCAAGGAGCTTATGTTATAGTTTGAAAAGGCAAACTGAGCAAGCATTGAATGGAGATCAGAGAGCTGCCTAAGATCAGAAGAGATGCAGAATTTTTTCCTTCTTTTATAATAATATACATTTTTAATAATTTTTATAATAATGCAATAATTTTCTCCAAAGTTTGTGTTAAATCTCTGATTGAACAATTATAGAGGTTTTGAAGAAATGGGTTGATGTTGCTATATTGAGTGAAATGACCGATAAAAACTTGTTGGACACCCTACATGCTGCCCGCACAGGGACTAGTACAAACTCAGGAGGACTGAGTTTCCTTCACTCGCCTTGCATTTCCTGTCGCTGCACTGACGTGCATGTCAGGAGACTCCACCTACAGGTGAGCTTGGGAACTCAGTAAAACACTGCGCTCTTCCCCCAGGCCTTTTGCTGAACACACCTATGCATGTTTCTTCGTTTTACCAAAAAGGGTGAAATACCACAATTTTGAACTGTGTCTTTTCTATGTGGGGCTGCACCTTTTGTGATTCATAAAGATTAAGTCAATGTCGCTGTCTTGGTTTTACACAATCGCAGTAATAACGCAAAGGGTCCCCCGCCCCACCTCCCCTCCTGTGTCTTACAGGCAGTCAGATGCCTCCTCAGCCACCTGGGAGCCAGTCAGAATCCAGTTCCCATCCTGCCTTGAGCCAGTCTCCAATGCCACAGGAAAGAGGTTAGTCTCCAGCTCCTATCTATTTTCTACCTTTGTGTTTCCAGTATGTAAGGCTTCCGTGAAATTTGCGTCTCCTTATAAATCATTTTTTAAAGAATATTATGTTTCCTCATCAGATGAAAGAAACAAGAACTTACATGTAACAACAAATATGGAAAAGAAGGATGTTTTCTCACAGATTGGATGACGATTAAGACCCAAAGAGTGTAGCGCCCACGTGGCGCCCTGAAGCATGGCTTACCCATGAGGACAGTCTGAGAGTTGCTGTGGAATGACTGTTCATGATTCCTTTTGGACAGTGGTCCTAAGGAAGTGGGTGCTAGATTGTGGGTGTCTTTTGCGGTTGATCATTGACTTGTGGCCATGACGTTTAATAGAAAAGTTTTCAACACATGATAAAACATCGTATTAGAAAACTAGAATCTTGGGACTGCGGCAGTCCTCAAGGATCATAGAGTCCAGTCACCTCAATTTACAATAAAAGCACAGAGGCCCGTTTAGGTCAGATATAATGTCCTCGTTCTCAGAAGCTAATTAGTGCCTGAGCCAGAAAAGGAGTGCGGGTTTTTCCTGCAGCCCTTGACTTTCAGGCTGCCCTGCATCTGCGGATGCTTTGGCCTTTAGCCCAGTATTATGTATTGACCGCACCGGTTACTGCCCTGGCGGAGGCCATCGGCCTTCATTGCTTGCCTCTGTCTTCTTCCTCCCCTTCAATAATTAAGCCACTTCTGTGGGTGGTGGTGGCGATTTCCATCCAGATTAGTGTAGACCGGGGCTTACAAGCCTGCTCACCATCTGCCACCACGCCAGGTCCCTCCCCGCTCTGCCTGTGAGTCAGACTTGCTGCCACCTGCCCCACAGAAGGTGCCACCCTCCCTGCATCTCGCCCAGAAGATGAACACTGGCAGCGTGGCAGCTGATTTTAAGTTCCTGACCCCTCAGGTGGTTATTATTTCTATATGAATTGTTGAGGTCTTGATTCTCTCCTAAATGGAATTATGAAGTTTGAGTTATTTAGCATGTTAAACTCTCACAGCACATTATTTAGAAAGTAAACACCAACAAAAGGACGGATTAGCTTTATCTACACATCTTTTGTGTTGAAGTGAATGTTCAGTGGGGATGAAACAATTTTCATATCCTAATGCCTTCACATATTCAAGTCCTTGATGATAATTTAAGGTATAATTAGTGTTTTAATTTCCTTATCAAGATACTATGTGTTTTAATAACGGGCTAGTTAATGGTTTTCAAACTTTGGGGTACAGAGAATTACCTGGAAAACTTATTCAAACAGATTTCTGATTCAGCAGGTCTGAGGTGGGTGGGGCATGTAAAATCAGCATTTCTGACGAGCCCCAGGTGTTGAGACGTTATTTGTGCAGGGCCGTCCTTTCAGAACCATTGTCTGGAACAACCCTGATGATCTTAGTCATTGTGCGGTGTGTGCTCTTGTTCCTCTGAACTCCCCTGTGGCCTCCTGTGTCATGTGGGCCTCACATCCTCTGAGCCACTGGTTCCTGCTCATGCCCGTGGATCTGATGGGCTGGAGACTGGGGGTTCAGAGGGAGCCAGCCGGGCCATGCAGGGGTGCTCCCCTGACACCTGCTCCTTAGTCACGGGTGTATTTATGCTGTATCCCTGGGTCAGCGAAGTGGAGAAAAGAGGTTGAAAGAAGTTATCCTGCAAATTCTCCTCCTCAGGCCAGATGCAGATGTCAGATGAAGGTCATTGTTACTTCCCTCACCACTGCCTGATGTTTAAGTTCCCCCCCAGTTTATAAGCACGTGAGATTAGAGGGCCTACGCAATTACTCAGAGCCAGAAATGGGTGGGCCCTCCTGGGGCCCCAGCAACATCTCCCCCAGCCCCTTCTGATGACTATGTTTAAGAAATTGGAAACAAAGAAAATCAAATGTGAAGGACAAGATGAGGAAACGCCATTAAATTAAACTTTTAACTGAAATGAGTACAGTTCAGAACCCAATAAGGGTGCTCTTCTGTATCACTTTGTGACAGACCTTCAGGGTTTTCTTCTCTGATTCTGTTACACACAGCGTGGAACTGATCATGGTACATAACAGTCTGGGTGGTTAGAATGATCATTCCCTTCAAATAGCAACTATAAATTTTAATTTGCTAAGTCTGAATTTATGCGGGCGTTAAATTCAGAGACCTAGTGGTCTCTGAACGACCATGCTGGAGACAAGGTGTGTGTCCCTCGTGGGCCTGTGAGTGTCAGGACAGCTCCCTGAGAAGGAAAATGAGTGTAGGTGACACTTTGCCATTCATGAGCTAAATCTCTAAAAATGGGTAGCAGGAATTTTTCTTTTTTTTTTTTCTTGGAAGAACTGGAGTGTAGGCCAGAGGTGCAGGGAGTGAGAGGATTCACCAGAGACAGAGTGGGGAGCAGAACAGGCGGATCTACTGAAATACACTGCTGAGGGGAGCAGCAGGGAGAAAGGAGAGGTCTGCTGCACCATGTGGGTCAGCTCCCTGGCCGGGGATCGAACTCAGGCCATAGTGATGAGAGTGTGATAGTGCTGAGACTGAACTCCTAGGCCACTGGGGAGGCCCAGCAAGGATTTTTTTTTTTATTGGCTTTGTCATTTGTTAAAATCTAATAGGAAATGTGAGCTCCTGGTGACATTGATTTGCTCAGGTGTTTTAATGGCAAATGATGCAGTCATCTTAATGCTTTGATATAGTAATAAAAGCATTTTCTCATTTGTTTTATCATGATTTGATGTTTGCCAACAGTGTATACAGTGCAAAATGGAACTAAGAAAGCACTTGCTAGAAAATTCCCAAGTGTTGACTCCCATGTATTAGAAGCAATTTAACTTTGTTTATACCTTTATAGTTGATATGCCTCCCCTCTTATTTAGAGAAGTCATGAAAGAAACAGAGAAAAAAATATATATATTGATGAGTTAGCATCTTATTTAAGAATGTACTCTTAGCAGTCATGGACTCTGATAGACCAATGTCCTCTGCCCTGCTGAATGCTAAAATAACCAAGTGGAGCAGTTCCATTTCTACTTATTTTGTTTTTTTTTTTTTTTTTTTTTTTTTAAGATTTATTTATTTATTTATACAAGCACTGGGTAGAGTCAGAGGCGTGGGAGGGTGAGCGAATTAACCAGAGCCAGAGCAGAGCAGGCAGAAGGACCGAAGTACACTGCTGAGGGGAGCAGCGGGCGGCAGGAGAGGTCTGCGCACCATGTGGGACCCTCGCCTGGTGGCCGGGGATAGAACCAGCGCTGCAGAGGCTGCGGGCAGCTTCGCAACCCAGCGCTCAACCGCTGCGCCGCCAGGGAGGCCCCATTTCTACTTATTTTGTTAAAATATGTGAGATTAAAGATAAGAGAGGATGAGTCCATAATCATACATATGTTCTGTAATATATGCACAGGAAATCAATTGCCTTTAGTAGCAAAGAATCTTGAAACACACTTGCCCAGAGCCACCTGCACAGAGCAAGAGACGCAGCCTCCCTGTCTTTGGTGGGGGCATGCTCTGGGTGCTCCCCCAGGCTTTAGTGGGTGCACAGTACTGACACCACCCTGAGCCAGTGCTCTCCAGGCACCAAGAAGCCGAACTCTTGCTCTGCTGCCGTGCCTTCCACCTGTCCTTGTCTCCCCACTCAGGAAGAACCTTAGCTAATAAACTGCATAGACTGCTTCAGAGAATTTTGCAGCCCTGAGGCTGTCCTGAAACCGGAGGCGGGCAGCTGCAAGGCCATCCTACCTCCCCTCCCGGCTGCGTGCAGAGCCATGTGCTGCCCATGACTGGCCCTCGTCACCCCTCACCATGGCCCTCTGCAATTACCCTGTGATCTGGTGGACTGCTGTCGAGTTTGTCAAAGGACGTCAGCCACAAGTCCCTTACCCACACCGTACGTAGGTAGAAATAACTGCTTTATGGTTTTGTATTTCCCATCTGTGAAAAGTCTTTATGCAAGTCCATGGGAATGTGGCACGGTGGGAACAAACATGGGGATGCTATAGAGCCTCACTGGCCTCTTCATTCTTGTGTAGTCTTGTCTCCACCTTTTCAGCATAAAGCTTGATTTAGTGCTCCGCATGTACTGTGGTGCTGGAACTTCTTACTAAATTAAGAAAATTACTTCAGTTTCTTTAGTTGTAACTCCTTTGTTACGGACAAAAGTTTAAAAGAAAAAGGTCAAAACTATAGTTGAATATTCTGTAACATATTTGCTATTGGTTTTTATTTTAAATCAAATCCTTTCTCTGTAGACCTCATATAACAACAATATAATTGCTATTAAAACACCTCACCAAAAAACCAAGTAGCATAAGGCTTTGTAGGAACAGTTAAGGTAATCTTAAAATACCAGAATAAATAAACTTTTCAAGAAAATTATAGCTGTTTCTATTAGATTATTCATATTTCTTCATCTTTAACATATATGTCTTAAAATTTGGACAGAGCAATAGGAAAAGGGTTGCACTGTTTCCAGGAGGGCTTGAAGGGGATATGGAACAGTCATCTGAGTAGACAGATAAGTGTAATCGTATTAATATTAAAATGATTGCATTTTTAACCCCTATAAAATGGTAAGCTTAATGAAACTAGCAAATGCCCTTCTCATTTATTGGATTAGCAATTAGGTGAAAATGTTTTAAGAAGGCTTATTTATTTGGACAGATGTAGAGAGGTCAGAGTTAATTTTTTTAAACCTTTTAATTGAATTTCCTTTTAATTTTCACAGTGGTGTCTACTTAAATATTCACGTTAATGCTGGTGGTTTTCTGAAGGTCTGCACTAGATCTGGATTCGCAAAATCAACAGAGGTTATTTAACCCTTTTCATCTAGTGTGCCAGTAGGGACTTCCTTCGTGTAATCCCACGGTATTTGAATAATTAGAAGGTGGTAATGAGGATTTAATTAGTCCTTGAGATGTGCTGAAAGCAGATCCACTAAGAACTTTCCCTTTTGGATTTGGACGGCGTCGGCAGACGCTGCCAGGACTGTGC